CACTGTCGTGGTCGTGGTGGTCATCGTCGTCACCATCGCAGCAGACACGGGATGTTGGGCAGGACAAGCATTAGGAGTAAGAGGAGATGGAGCAGGAGGAGTAGAAGAAGCACTAGCAACAGCAGTAGCAACTCAGTAGTAGTAGTAGTAGTCGTCGTCGTCGTCGTCGTCGTCGTCGTCGTTGGCGTCGTCGTCGTCGTCGTNNGTAGCCGTAGCCGTAGTCGTAGTCGTCGTCGAGGTCGCCGCCAGCGTGGTCGTCGTCGTCGTCGTCGTTGGCGTCGTCGTCGCCGTCATCGTCGTTGCCGTGGTCGCAATCCTCCTCCTCCTCCTTCTCCTTGACCTCCTCCTCCTCCTTCTCCTCCTCCACTGTGTTCTTGTCCTTGCTCGTTCTGTCCTTGCGTCCTTGTGTCCTTGTGACTAATTGTGTTGTTGTGTCTTTGTGTCGTTGTGTCGTTCTGTGGTTATGTCGTTGTGTCGTTGTGGTATTGGCAATGGCCAGGGCCAGTTGGGGCCTGCGTCGTCGTCGTAATGTCATGCTAGTACACAGGTGTGAAGCTGTTAAGCCTGGTGCGGGAAAGCCCAAGTAACGAATGAAGATGTTCGAAGGCTCTTGTGTTTGGAGCTTCACTATTGGACTTAGAGCTATTGAGTGTAGGGTTTTCAAGCTTTTGGAGGGTGGGTCCGGGCGTCGGCATCCTAGGACGCAGGTCCTTCGGCTTGAATTCTGCGGCGGCTGAGGGCGATCTTTTACAGGCACTCCGTGCCTGACCCTCCGCCTGCGTGACACGTAAAATCTGGGGACGTCTCAGAACATAAAGGGAGAATTCCATCCCAATCTAGCACCCAAAGTAACAAGACGGACCTCAACCACTAACCCCGAAACTTGTAACAAAACTCTCATGGCTCCAAAGCCCCTGATACACGGAACCTGCGTGCTTTTCGTCCTAAACCCTAAAATGGCCCNNNCAAAAACCCTAAACCCCAACACCCTAAACCCTAAACCCTAAACCCTAAACCCTAAAGCCCTAAACCCGAAACCCTAAACCCTAAACCCTAAACCCTAAACCCTAAAGCCCTAAAGCCCTAAAGTCCCATCTTTTTTAGAAACCTGAAGGTGAGTTCAGAGACTCCAGGCTCCCCAGAGAGCCCGACATCGCCTGATCAAGCAAGAGAACAAGATCAATAATCTAGGGTTTAGGGTTTAGG